CCCCGGTCCTGCTCCCGCCCCGCCCGCATGCAAAGCGACACCGTCACTGGCGACCGCACTGTGGCTCACCGGTTCACGATGTAGTGGGCCGACGGGGACGGCCCGGAGCCTGGCCTGTTGTGGATCACCCTCATCATGTTGTTGGGCTCGGGCTCGCGGGTGGGGTCCTGGAGCTGCACCTGCTGCACCTGCACGAGGGGCACCTGCTGCTGCGGCAGCTGCCAGGTGGGCTGGGAGGGCAGCCACGGCGTGACGTCGCCGTGGCCGCCGTTGAGCCCGTACCCGGGCACACCCGCGTCGTCCACGTCCGCGGGGTCGCTGGGCTCGGCGTCGACGCGGTGCGTGGACACCTGCTGCTGCGCGGGGGTGGCCGCGAGGTCCGCGGCGGCAGGCTTGAAGCCGTTGATGACGTGCGGCTGGCGTGTCGCTGTAGGGGCCGAGGCGCAGGAGAACGGCGAACAGAATGAGCGAAGGGCCGTCGGAAAGAAAGCGCGGCAGAGCGCTCGGAGGAGGAGGAGGAGGAGGAGGAGGAGGAGGATATACTCTTACCGGTGGACGCGGACACCAGACACCCGGCGAGCAGCAGGACGACCACGCTCAGGGCTCGGGGCCGCGGGGGCGGCACCATCATGCTACTGCGGGGACAGACGCACAACATGTAAATGTATGACATGTAAATGCAGGACACACTGCGACACCGGTCGCCTCCAGCGCAGCTGATGGCATAACGACATGACGAGGCGACACAACGGCCAGGGCGCAGCCGGACACGCGTATCCGTGTGTGACGCATCGAGCACGAGCACACGCAATACAGCAAAGGTTACACCCAGCCCGGGCCCCGGTGAATAGGGCATCATCTGGAAAGTACGCCCGTCGTGCGCCGATACGAACCAGCCAAGTTCAGCCTCTGTAGCCTCTCATAGCGCCTGGTGGGTAGGCAACATCTCGTCTGCAGTGCACGCGTGTTCTGCGGGGCGGCCTACCCCAAGTCTCGCAGGCGCCGAGCTCCCGTCATTTGCCGGTTGAATGTCAGAAAAACGGACGTACTTTCTGGACGATTCCCAGGGTGACAGGTTGAAACCAACAGGGTTGGCGAACCAAGGCTTTTGTTCCTTGTAATAATTCTGAATTCACTCATTCAAAGACTTTTTCGCCAAGGGGAAAAATTTAAAACGTTCCAGTGATAGACTCCAGCACATCTAATAGAGCTTTCCATTGACAGGGTCCCGTGGTTCAAGTGGGTAGGCGCGTGAATACGGTACAGTGTAACCAAAACTAAAAAGTTAAGTGCGGGATCTAAATGGGACACCCTAGAGCCTAGGTAGTACCTTTCTTGGCTTTGCCTTTCATGAGTAAAGTAAACACCAAGACGACTGAAAAGGGACTAATGTCTCACTGTACCATCTCTGAATGAAATTACAGGGCATGAAAGTGGCAGCTTCGCGAAACTTGCCGTACCGTTGTGCCCCGTGTAAAATAAGCCAACCCCGGCCCGGTCGGGCTTCTCTCCTCCGCTCTCCCTGCATTCCATCCCCCGCCCCCTTTGCACGTCCCTTCGCGACTTACCTGCCGTGCGATTCCGGAGATCGTTCAAGAGGGGCTCTCCTATACCTGCCATATGAGTGCAACAAGGACGGAGCTATACGGGAGGTATAGGAGAACCCCTCTTGAACGATCTCCGGAATCACACGGCTGCGGCTTACTGACCGAGCTGCTGATTCACTAGTACTACTCCTGCAGCCGGAGGTGGTCGAGTTCGCACTACAACACGACCGGTGGGGCGCTGGCTGCGCTGGCTCGTGGTCGCGGGCGGTGCTGGACTGTGAGGCGCGCCGGGCCGTGCGGGCCGCGCGGGCGGAGGGTAAGGTAGGGCGTAACCAGAACTCGCCGCTTTCCGTCACCGGCTCCGCTGCTCGGGTCGGGTCGGGAGTTTCCCGGCGCTCTGGCAAGTGAGAGTGTTTGAAATGGGCGGGGCCGCGGGGCAG